CCATACATCGAAAATATCTATCTCTAAAATGGTGGTGAGAGGCATTTCATTTTTCTTTAAAATTTCACCGGCCCTTTGACATTCATCACAACGCTTGACAAGATCACTAGCATCCTTGTAGAGAGTGGGCCAGTAGAAACCGCCTTATCATGTTTTGAGTCTTTCGTGAAAGATTTAGCTTGCTTTCGCTTAAAATTCTAACCTAATTGAGGATATATTGTTGCGCCTCTGTTTTTTGTGCGCTTCATTTCGCGATTTTCAGGATTTAATCCTACTTTTCATCCTTTTCAACTCTTTTAAAGTCGTTTGTGGATTGTGATAATTTGATTTTGACTGAGAAAAATAAGTTTCAACTATGATGTTTCACAATTTGGGATAGCTATGTAATCCAACAGATATGCCTTTTAATTTCTATGACCTTCTTTATTTTTTTTCCTCCTCTCATGGGTTACACAAAAAGCATGAATTTGTTTAAAAAATTCATGTCTAATTTCATATTTCCCTGCCTTAGATGTGAGGATGGGTGAGATGCCCAATTTAGTGTTCAATTTGATAAGAAATAGATAAATGATGTTGAATGGCATAATATAAGCAACATATACAATGAGCGAAAATTTAATGTACATATCAGTTCTGAAACAGTAGAAGATTTGAATTAGTGTTAATTTCACAAGCACATATATGTTTATAGATTATTGAAAAGAAAGTTAATAGTAATCGTACTTAGATCACATTGTTAATAGAAGGATATACCATTTTAAATCCAAGTCCGAATCCTTGAAACTTTTTGTGCATATCCGGAGATTGGAGCTGCTAATCTTGAAACACAATGAATCATATGGTAAGATTTCACTAAAAGCTAGAAGCTATTACATAAGTGATGGACTCACATATTTAATTTCATTGTTCTGAAATATTATCCCGTTAATCTCCCTATATAATTACTTTTCCATGAAAACCATACAATTTTTTTCCAGACACTTCAAGAAACAACAGAATTTCATTTAGAAGATAATCTACAAAATAATATCAATATGGCAAGTAATTTTTCGAAAAGGCAGATTCTCATGCCAGGACTAAAATTTGAAAAAGAAAAAAGAAAAAAATCAGAAATAAAATTCATTAATGATTTTGGTTTACGAACTAACTATCATGTACATGAAGATTTATTGATAGATTTTCAATAGAGGATAAAACAAAGAAAAGAATTTCTAAGATATCAATGAAAGATGTAGCATTTAGGAAATTAGAAACTTACATCTTTTGCCATCTTCAATATTTAGGCTATCAAGACTAAGGATTGTTCTATTCATCATGTACTTTCAATCTGACTTGAATCACAATTTAAGTAAGGTTTTCCATGAGGAGAAATGACTCAGTTTCTGCTAACAAGTATATTTCTAAGATATCATGAATAAATCAGAAATAATTTTTATTTGTATTCTATGTCAGAGAAAATGCTTCTTGAGTGAGTTAATATTGTAATTAACAACAACAACAACAAAAAGGTAAATATTGTATAGTTGGTGACATCAATCTTATTATTAGTAGAGTTGACGCCAAAGATTCACCTTGTACAAGAATTGGTTAATATCATTTCCCTCTTAAAGAAACATAGTGAATATATGGTTTATGCTCTCTAACTCTTGTAGTTGAGTTGTATAAGTTGCTCCATTTATAGCTATTGTAGTTCCTGACTTCTTGTGAATGAGGAGGATTTACAGGTTCAATTAAGGAACCATTAGATGCTATTGCAATTTTTGTTCTAGGTAGTGTTCAGAAAATAAAAGTCAGATATATTTGGGTCTCAATAGTATTTTTTATTAATCTGACTCTATTCGCTTCTGATGTTACCTCTGCCAGCAAACTATTTCTGTTTACTTCATGTGTTTTAATTTCTATAATTGCAGTTTTGTAGGAATAATGGGTTCTGAACAAAAAAACAAACATGTTTGCTCCGCAAAATCGGAAGCTGAGATGAAACTTAGGCGACATGAAACATACAGACTAATATCTGCAGAAAAAAAGGAAGCACTGTTACAACAGCGACGAACAAAAAGACGAGTTAAAAAGGAGTGGTCTTTCTGAGAATGTTGCTTTTCCTAGCACTACTGCAGCTGCAACTGAGTTTCAGCAACAAAATGTTCCTCTTAGGGGCTCTTCTTTTGTTTCAAGAACAGGTTAGAACACATCCTTTGTAATTTTATTTTTTGTAGAAATATCCCTTGATACTCTTTGCATGTGAGTATAATTAAATGATGCTAAGTTTGTGTTGTGTTTTTCTACTAGCCAACGAGGGTCGCGTTGATGCTTTACCTGTTACATTTGACATGCAAAAGAGTATAACTTGTCCCTTCTACTCCTTTGAAGTAGGCAAGTATCGAGGATGCAACGTTGACTTTTAGACAATGTCTTTATTTATTGCTAATTTATTACTTTTTGGCGTTGGGCTCCACGTCACGTGCATCCAATGAAAACAGTAGTATGAGCTCAACAATGGTTGGAAAAAAAGGTTTGCACCAATTTTTTATTATGATAGTGTTGTATATTACCTAATTGGTAATTTTATGCTAATGATACCTAAATATACAGGTTATAACTCAAAAAAAAGTGTTGTACATACGTAGGACAGTTACAATCTGATTATATTCCCTTGAAAACTGTTCCTAATTGTAAATTTTGTGGTGCAAAAAAAATTTGAATATGAACCACCTGGATTCTGCTGTAACAATGGTTCGATCAAGTTAGTTTCACATGAGATGCCTGCTGAACTACAAAATTTATATTTGGGGACTATGGAAGAATGTAAACATTTTCGAACATATATCAGAACATACAATAATATATTTGTTTACATCACTTGGTGTAAATTATGACAAAGAATTAGCAAAAAAAAAATTATGGTATTTATACATTTAGAGTTCAAGGGAAGATGTACCATTTTATAAATGATTTGCTGCCTCCGAGTGGAATAGCAAGAAATCTACAACTATACTTCTACGACAACGATAACGAATTAGCTAACAGAATGGCTTGCTCTGAAAAATTCATGAATCAATAGTAGAAAAACTAATGAATATACTGAGTACTAATCCATACTCTATTTTCTTAAAATCCCTAATAGATGTTCCAAATCTATCGAACTACAATATGAATCTGGGAGTAGCTCTGCATGGTGATTGTGGATTTGGGAGCGCGATCCGAAGTGAATTCGGATGTCCGTGGAGCATTTTGGAGTCATTTGGCTAAAGATAGAAATTTGAAGGTTTTTGAGAAGTTTGACCGGAGGTGGACTTTTTGATATCAGGGTCGGAATCCGATTCCGGAAGTTGGAGTAGGTCCGTAATGTCGAATACTTGTGCGCAAAATTTAAAGTCAATCGGACGTGATTTGATAGGTTTAAACATCTAAAGTAGAAGTTTGAGATTCTAAAGTTCATAAAGTTTGGATTGGAGGTCGATTCGTGGTTTTAGCATTGTTTGATATGATTTGAGGCCTCGATCAAGTCCGTAATGTGTTTTGGGACTGGTTGGTATGATTGGATGGGGTCCCGGGGGCCTCGGGTGGATTCCGGATGGTTAACGGATCGAAAATGAAATTTTGAGAAGTGCTGAAGCTGCTGCTTCTGTCATAAC